ACTCTTATTGAGTTACTGAATTTCCAAATAAATATCGACGTCATCCAGGATTTCAGTGGCTTTGTTTCATTACGCTGTGATTGGTCCAGACAAATTTCCTGGTATTTTTTTGCGTGAATCGATTCCACGGTTTACTGCACTCACACTATATATGCGACAAATTTATACTTGAACTAGTACAAGTAAAAAAAGCCGAAAGCGAACAAACAATACATTACAAAAAGAAAAACGGCTCAAAACGTGTTTTTTAAATCCAATTTTTGAGGGCGCTGAACATGATAACCGCAAGGCTGAGGAATCCAACAGTGACACTTGAAGCTCCTACGAATGAAAGACAGCAAGAATGTGTTAGCCTACGTGTAAACTCCCCCCCCCCCCAAGTTTCTTCTAGGGGGAGAGGGTACGGCTACACGTAGGCTAAGAAGGAGTCGTCGAAAGAAGTTGATTGTTAACATTCCCCTGTCTCTCTCCCTAACAAAGTTCCCCTCCTTCACGACAGACTACTGGTATAATAGTATCAAACGCTTGCGTTATTTCGATTGTTAATTGCAAATCATGCGTTGCATTTTTAAGTCTCAGCCTAATTTTTGTACATGCGTTCGAAATGCGCAAGAGATCATTAAATTATAGACTTGAATTGTACTGGTTCAGCGGCCTGGGTGATTCTTGCAGTCCATACTAACCTGCACATTCGCAAATAGTACATCCATATTTGTTTCTAGCGAGACCATTGGGGCAACCGTCAGGAAGATAACAGCCTGGCATTGGGCAAGCATCTGAAAATATAAGAAGGAAATAAAATTACACGAATGCTAGGACAGTGAGAATCTGAAAGGAACCAGCAAAGGCCTTTAGCTTGTGTTAGGCGTGACACTTACGGTTAAGGGTCACACTGATTCCATCCCAAAAAATTCCATCCTCCTTAACCACGCTGGCGCTGGTGACGATGAAAAGAACATAACAATAAATACTGAAATAATTTTATTAGGAATATAACTACGCAACTGTACCTTAGAACTACATAGAATTTTTATCGTAATATTTCCTTCACCCACTGATATCTCTTATGCGAGGGAGACAAAGTGATGAAAATGTTGCGTGCAAGATTGGGGCGTGCAAAGGTCTTTTTTTTTAAGGGTACGCACAACCTTCCTCTCCTTCTCTTTACAAATCATAAGAGTTTGCTGTGAAGGCAAACCAAGTGTTTTTTTGATGTGGTATGTCTGGTTATGGGTAGCTACACCTCTACCGTGAGTAACACAACAACATAATCAAGGGCACAACCGCTGTCCGGCACACGAAGTCAGCCACGGGTACTGTTGTGTTTTCCTGAAATACTCCGGCCACGAAAAAGTTGAATTGCAGCGAGGTTTTTTATTCTGATCAGGAGCCCCAAAGTTTGATGATATGGTTAGGTTCAAATAATTGCATCTCGGGGAAAAGGCAAATATCTTTAATATACCTTATGGTGATTTTTCCAGATATACTTTTCTTAGGCGACCTCCATTTGATCTGAATGCTATGCCAGTACATGCTGTTTGTTGAGTTTTCAAGCACCTCGATCTAAAAATTGTAAAAAGCAAAAAGCTAATAAATGAAGCGGGGTCGTGAGTTAGGAGGAAAAAATAGGAAACTTCGAAAATTTGTAATTTAACCTATTTTAGGGTTCTTGACGATTTTTCAAAGGAAGGGAATGTTTTAACGTGATAACTGTTCTAATTTCGACATTTGATGAAATATTCCACGTAGTTTTTTAAAAGCATGGGAGATCAGGTAAGTTTCCCGATCAAATCTGGTTATTACAATAAATTTCCAGATCCAGAAGCCTATTCCAGAAAATTTAGAAAGAGGCCACTGCAAAATGACGGGAGGGCATCATCGCTCTGTGCCCTCAAACATATTAGCATTCAATCGATCGAACAGCGCTAAGTCACGAATGAAAAAAAGAAAAAATACAAATGATCCAAGACACTGAAAAGGGGAGCCAAAATCTCGCTCTCTGTTTCCAAATCAAATCATGAACTTTGCTTATAGCTACAAAATACATGCTCTTATACTCTAGTTAGAATTTCTCAAGACTTTGCCAACGGTCCTCGCTGTTTGAGTGAGCCTTACTCACAAATTGTCTCGTGTCATTGAAGTGACACTCCCTCTTGGACACTCCAGCAGGTAGCGGGGACAAAAAGTCCCCACTGTCCTCGTCATCGAACTCATTGTAGGCATAAAGCATGAAGCCCGTGAAATTCTGTGTCATATTACCAGAGCGAGTTCCATTCAGCGTTACTAGAGAGAAACAAGAAACAAAACTTTATATCAGCAAATATTTTTCAATCATTTACGATCATTAGGACGTCGCTAGAATTCTTTCGTGGGGGTGAGGAAGCAGGGGGTCACACTATGTTACACCGAGGCTTCCTTCCCTAATGTCATGTCTACATCCACGCTGTGTTTTAATAAAAGTGATGTTTTCATAAAGTGTAAATACTTCGAATTTGTGCCTTTTTGCCTCCTGAATTGCATGGTTTGTGAGTTGTTGAATTAAAAAAAAAAATGTCCTCCTTGGAAAGGGGAGTGTTTTCACCGGCACTCAGGACCTCTCCCTAACTACGCCCCTATTCTTAGTTTTGTTAATTTCATTTCTAATCACCTAGTTCCATGTTAGAGCGAGTTCAAAATTTATTGGTGACTAGCGCAAAAAGGTTCCCCCCCCCCTTTCACCATCTAGGAGGGCTGTGTAATTTCCCTCCAAAGGCAAGAGTGGAAGTGAGGGAGTTGGGGATTAGTGTACATCTAACCATACCCTTGATGGGTCAAGACAAAGTGATAATATCAACAAATGCCATTAAAAAAACATTAGTGTTGGATTTGCTCATTGAAAAATTTAGTTATATTAGGCTTCTGATAAGGTTTCAAATTGGCAATTTTATTATGTTTAAGAGGAAGTTATTCAAACGATATTCAGCTGATCCTAGAAACATGCAAAGAAATAAAAAATAAGTTTACTCACTTGTGTATGTCGTCTGCCCTGGTCCATAATGAGGTTCACCCATGTAGAGGTCATCGTAAACCGACCGCCCATCCGGATCAGTTATATTCAGCAAATAAGGGGGCTGTGAATTCTGAGGCTTTGTACCACTGGGCAACCAGTCTTTAACCATGCCACAGGGCAAACGAACTTCTGTCTTCACCTGATCAATGTGAAAGATGGCTATGATGCACACCAGAGGAAGCAAAAATGCTCCCGGTAGATCGCGACGAACCATTCTGGTTGCTAAGTGAATAAAGGGGGCAAATTTCTAAACAAACTGTGGTGCTGCGTCGGTGGGAGAGTTTAAAAGTCATAAAACGGTGATTTAGTATTATCAACTGAGTTGATAACGTAAATTGGCCACCGTAAAGAGTTTAAAAGCTGACGTTACGAGCTTTTTATTAGCCCTTCGTCAGAGCGATTCTGGTCGCTGCTGACTTTGAAAATTTAAAGAGTGACCAAAGAAATTATTACATATCATATTATTAAAATTCACCTGTACGTGCTTTTAAGCAAGATTCCTGCTTTTGGTGCGTCACATCTATTCGGTTTCTAAACTCTTTGGTAATTAGAGAAAGTAAATATTTGTGCCAAAACCCTTTCTTACACCAGTGTTGTCAAGCATGTGTGTTCAGGCGTGAAAATCGGAGACACGAACCGGCGATACGTCGTTCGAATGTCATCGAAAAGGACATATACGTCGGCAAAACCGTGCAGAACATAATCATGTGCGGCCTTGTCGGTTTGCGTTTCATTAGATATTAAAACTTCCATTACAAATCAAAGGAAATTAGAAAAATAAGTCCTTATCGGAATAAATGCAAATATTTAGCATTTTCGGTTGAACGACTTTTCGACGATAACAGCTAGTATTGCTGTGGCTAAATATCCTACAACCGCACATGGTCCTATAACGGACGAATAAAGTTCCCGGCAATCGGAGATTTTCACAAATTTCCTATTGCAAATTTTCCTACAGATTCTCGTTTTGGAAATTTCAAGCGATTCGCAAAATAATGTAGGTTGTAAAGTTAACGAAATAGCCGAACCTGGGGCAGTTTCTAAATGCCCAGCATTTATCAATTTATCGATTAAATTAAAGAAAGTACACGGGCATTTGGCAACAGCGAAATCTCAGCGATTGATATTCGCGAAGACGTGGTTCAAACAGGTCTCACAATACCATCAAAATCTCCAAAATGTCCGACCTACTAAATAATTTCAATCGTGTTTCACCCAATTTGAGGACGGGTAGTCAATGAATTTTTTTTTCAACTACTTACCAAAGGAAAACTGAAATGCGATGAAAATGTCGAGGGAGAACTCTAGCCCTACCGACAAGGTTTGCGCAACTGACCCCAAACTAAACTCGAGTGGAGTTTTGCGTGACCCTGTGTTTACAACATACAAATTTATGCTAATGTTGTTTTTTTGAAAGTAACATAAGCAGGGCGTGAAGAAATAGGCAATTGTTTAAATATTTTCGGAATAAGGCATCGGTAAAATCGAGATGCTCTTTAAAAATAAATGGAAATTAAAAATTGGAATGGATGTGCAAGAATCCGGGGAAGATAAACATTTTTAAGGTTGACCTTGAAGAACGTATTTAAAAATACGTTCTTCAAGGTCAACCTTAAATAGACGCACGGTGACGATTAAATATAATATACTTATGTCTGTTCCCTTTGCTTTGTTGAAACAACATCGTGTCCATCGCCATCCAATTCTGCACAAATTTCTGCTGCTGCTTGTGTGTGTTTTGTTTTCGGCACAAGTGCTATTCAAGTCAGTCACATGTGACCAAGTTACTTTGTCCAAGTGTATGTTTAAGTGTTATTTATTTATTTATTTTTTTGGATCATACGTTTTTATTTCCTTGTAGGTTTTACCTTCCCCAAACAGGTATTTTAGCTATCTTAAATATTCTAGCCACTGTTTTCTCTTCCTTCCACGCCTTATTTTGTGATATCATCCCTAAACATTTCTCTTACATAATTCCTGTTATGTGGGAGTAATACACAATGCCATTTCCTTTATATGCAAATCCTGTGTATGAAACACAACCGTTTTTACTCCCTTATAACCTTATTTAGCTAATATTTATTTCTGTATTTTCTCTCTGGCTAAAACATAAATCTTAAACTCAAATCTGTTATTGAGCCGACCGTTTTGACTGCCTTACACAAATAAAAATGTCTTGTTTTGCGCATCTAAGAATGGCAGAAGAAAAAAAACATGAGACAGTTAAAGACAGGCCATAATGCTAGTTCAAGACTCCGTCTCCGTGAATGAAGGAGGTAAATTTCTAAAGAAACTGTGATGCTGCGTAGTTGGGAGAGTATAACAGGATAATTTGGTTTCAGCAACTGAGATGATAATGTAAATTGGCCACCGCAAAGTTTTTCGGCTAAAGCTGACGGAGACGAGTGATAGCCCTTCATCATGCACTTCAGATGACGCAGGGGTAAGGCTCGAAACGTCAGCCTATAGATATCGTCTGGATCCGTATTATTGCAAAGTCTTTGCTTATCTAACCCAACAAGAGACCAATTCTTTTGCAAGTTATCTTTGGTTTTAACAATTTATTTAGCAGTGGAAACGATTTGTCCACGATGATGGTTGAGCTTTAAACTGATTACAGTAATCTTTGATAAAGATCTATCTGACGAGCGTGTTTATGTCAATGATATAATTTATTATGAAATATCTATTTACAAACTGCTTTTGTGGTTTGTATTCATTATGCTGGTTACGCAATGGATAATTAGAGAAAGGCAATTGGGTAAGTCACGTATTCTGTTATGTTATCACTACAATTAAGTCGTTTACTGGAAATCAACTTCTTTTGAGGGTGGCCAGCTGACCACCCAACAGAGCATGCGTGATACATGACCATGCGAGAGGCATGCTAGGTTCAGAGGAGAGAAACGATTAAAAGATTTCCGGTGAGACAGCACCCAGATTGCACCTAACGATGCCCTCTGAGCTCAGAGCACACTGCACATGATGGAAAGTTCGTGCTTCTCGCGAGAAACCGTTCTCTGCCTCTGAGTAAAATTTCGTTGGACATAAATTCTTCCAGGCGTCTCGTTCGTAAACGAGCACGATAGCAGAGAAGCAGCGCGAGTCGTAACAAGTTCATAAGCCTGAATGATCATTTGTAAGATGGAAGATTTCTATCTCAACTTTCTCGCTTACTGCGTTATATGAGACTGCTTAGTGATCGAGTGTCGTTAAGGCTCGCTCGGCTGTCGACGGCTTGCTTGTTTAGTTAAGGACAATTTTTAAATTGTTGATAATATATCACTACGAGAGAACTTTAAAATGTTCCGGCTCTTGGAGTGAAATTTATTATTAGTGAGTTATATTTATGTAGTGGGTGTTATAAAAAAAAAAAATTCAGAGATAAAAAGGTACGATCTCACAGACGGTCAGTCTAAATTTATCTCAGCATTGGTTTCGTCGAATTAATGCCTTGTTCTTCTAGATTAAAAAACTATTGATTGACCATAAAGAGACATAAGATGGAATGTAAGGGGAAACTGTTCTTGCAATCTTGAATTCTGAGTATAAAACAAATACCTTAAAATTCAAGTTTTTTTTAAAGTTCGCTGTGAAAAGGAAAGCCAATTTACCGTTATTGCCTCAATGTCTGTAATCCCAGAAAAAAACTATCAAAATCGAGCAATTTGATTGGCTCAAAAACTTGACACCCAAGGAGTATAATACGCCATATTTTTGCAATTAGACACTCACTTATAAATATTGCTTTGCTGTTATTCGAGTTTTTCATTTGGTGCATCTGTTCAAGAGGATCGGATAAAACTATACCTGCCTTAGAAATTCAAGCTCCTAAACTCGCAGTAAGAAGAAACCTATGTGCATTGTGTTAAGGTAGGGACAATACATTATTGAAACAAATGGCTGTTTTGACATCTTCGCAATGAAAGGTTTAGAAGAATGGGCTGCATATAGACTACCTCTGTGAGACCAACAGACCAGCATCTGCATGATGGGGCTTTTTACTAAAACTTCATGATCTGACGTTTGAAATTTCGAAAGCGACTTCTTTAGAATTTGCATTAAGTAAAGATAAAATGATGACATAATAAAATCGAAAAAAGCATTCGCAATTTAAGCACGGCTCTTAAAGGACAACAGTAACTTCAAGAATTGAAAAGTTACTGGAACAAATTTCGACTTCCTTTTATTTCGTCTTTCATACATAATACCATGAAACTAAATTCAGTTCCTGTAAGTTGGTTGAAAACAGTTTAATTGTGAAACATTCTGCTTAACCTTTTAAGAAGGAAACGAAATTTCAAAAACCAGATGGCTTTGAAAGAATGAACGCTGTCGTTCTAATAAACAAAAATAAGCCGCTTACTGTCTGACTCTGGCTCTTTCATCGGTTAATCAAATTTTTTTATTATATGCGAGATGCAGTATTTTGCGGGAAGTAATTAAAGATACTTTACATTATAATCGTGAGTATTTCATGAAATTGTGTACTCATTTTCAGAATAAAACAATCTGTATTTTCCTGAGCGTGGGGGAAAAGCTTTTTAAATACATTTACTTAATTTTTGAAAGAAAATGACACCTCTAATAACATTATTTTTAAGACTTAAGTAACTTACAAAACGGAATAGATTTGTCTTATTCATGGAAAACATACGACGCATCTTTATTTATTTGAATTTGAAGAAAGATTCCATTTGCACGCAATGTAAAATGAAAGATGTTTAACTTTGTTTGAGCCTTGTCCATCTTAGTCTGAAGAATCTTTGATCACTATACCTCCTGTTGTGGTATTTTAGTATTTTCAAAACTGAACACAAACGTCTGTAATTTAATGTCCAAAGCGACTGAAAATTTAATAAAACTTGGCTAACTGAATTGTGAAAATCATAGTCTGCGGTTTTTCTGCATCAGTCATTTAGGCATAGTGTTTTTGTTCAGTAATTTGAAGAGTGGCCAAATTTCGAAACCACATTCACCTAAATTTTTACATGACTTAAGCTGTGGGCAGTTAGAGTGGTTTTACATTAATTGGACGCTCAACAGGAATTATTGTTGTTATCGGGGTAAGCCATACGTGGTCCCTGCTATTTGGGGAAACGCCAGCGGAAAATGAAAATCATTTCTCGATCTACTTTAATAGTTAGATCACTGAGAGCGCGCGAAAACTTAGTTGTACAAAAAAACAAACAAGTAAACAAATATTGAGAAGCTGGCTTCACTGGGCTCGTTAGCTGCCCTAGAGTTTAATAAAGTAAAGCCGATTTTGATATAAATTTTGTGGGGACCGTCTTGCGTTGATATCATTTTAACAGCGATTATAACCTGATTTTGATTTTGATTTGAAGGATGTTGCCTTTCTCAAATTTTAAGGTTCTTTAGTGGCGATATTTCTCTAAGCGCAAAATTTAGCTCGACAAGATCCTAGACGTAAGGGATTAAGATATTAGTGAATCAGGATTAGAGGTTGTTCCATTTTCAACCTACGTATTCATACATAGTACATGTATTAAAAACAAGACGTATTCGCCTAAATGACATCACGAACTGTTGCAGCCATAATTGATTACATCTAAATATTTAGCGAATGGTTTGTCGATATTTGGATACGCCCTATAATTTTAAACTTTACGACGAAAGTTATTGCTAGTAAATATAATTATATTTCACCATCATCGTTGCTCAATATTTTGTCTTTGTTTTTACTGTGTTTTCGTGAAAATTTGATGAGGTATCCTACCTGAAGGGAGGTAAAATTGATAAAGTGGTATTCACATGGAATTAATGGGTAGCGTATTGGATAACTCATTGGTTTACCTTTGAGTATCGTAAAAAACGCTTAACAGACAGAGGGTTAACTAATCTAACCACGAAATCATCGAAAGTTTTTCAGGAAATCCAGTGCATAGGCATATTTGTTTCAGGGTAAGAGTCCAAAAATAGCGTGAATAAGCTGCAACTGCGAGGCCCTTAACAAACTCTTGGATGACAGCTAACAGTTTTGTAGTAGGGCTAATGTATCGAAATAAAATCCAGATATTCGCGCACGTTCAGCTATACCTCCGACCGCTACATCACAACCTACTACAGTATTTCTTTAAGTTACAGAGTATATATGGTCAGGATATTCCATTCAGTTGACTTTCCTCATTAATTTATGTCCCCATCTATCTGGTTGCTGAAGCGTTGGACTTCCGAGGAATCTTAAAATCCGGGTGTGAGCTTGTGACGGGTCGTTGTATGTTCTGTTCTTGGCAAGGGGAGGTTACCTAGGATGGACAAGCGTTTTATCTTTCATTGAAACTAGTGATAAGCACCGGTAGATCTGCATGGGGCTCCCGGTTTTAAGATTTAACCTATACAATTAGCTTGCTCTTTTATTAGGTTTGGGTAGTTTAGAATTTTCACTGATGGA